GGCTCATTGGGGTGGGGTAGCCCCCCCGGGGCGGGGTGGACTGGCTGGGCAGGAAGGACATCCCCATCACGGAGCCCGCGTTGAGATGGCCGTTCGGGACGAGCAGGGAGTTCTGCGGGTAGGGAAGGGGCTGGGGCTGGGGCTGGGGCTGGGGGAACATCCCCACCCCCGGCGTCCCAGCATTGTAAGCCTCGGCGGGCAACGCCAGAACGGCGTTTTGGCTGCGATGCACGCCGCCACCGGACATCAGGTCCGCCGATGAGGACACGTACGTCATGGACATCTTGTTGGCGTTGTTGAAGATGTTTCGGTTGTTCAGACTCGACATCACACGTTCCGCCGAGAAGGAGTCCACAAACCGGACGACGACGCTGGTTTCGCTGCGGGAGTTGGAGGGGATGATAATCATGTTCTGTGTGGCCGCACCCACTTTATCAAACACACGCCGCATGACTTCCTCCGTTACGGGCTGCTGAATCCCAGTGATCCGAATGTTAAGAGTGTCGGAAGGAATTCTTGGGGCACCTCCATCGTTGGTGAAATTATGACTCGGGATGAAGACACCACCACGGCCTCGTTGCTGATTATATCCTCCATGCATAGTGAATTTTAGCAATTAAATATAGAAATATCAATATATATCAATATCTATCTATCTATATATATATAGATATATAGATATAATTAAATTTATTTGTAAATTTATTTAAGGAATACTTTCAACAATTTGAATAATTTGGAGTGAAATTATCGAACTAATTCGCTAATTTAAAGGAATCTATGTGAAAAAAAATGAAAAAAGTCTTAAGCATATCAATATAAAATCATTAATGATCTATTATTAGCAGTACGTATTTCTCTGAGTTTCACCACTTTTATGAAGAAGACTATTTCGGTTATATAGAAATAAGATACACGTAGAAATTTAGAAACTTGATCAAAAAAATACACAAATAACCAAAGATTCTTAGAAAATCACGCAGTAAGATAGGGAGGTACCCATTTCGAAAAAGAAAACGCTCAAAAAGAAAAGGGAGAAAGGGGAGGGGGAGAGGGAGGACGAGGAAAAAAAAGCAAAATAGTGCAATTTACAACCACTAAAATGTAGTCTTTTGAAGACAGATACACAATATTCTCGACGTGATATCACATTTCAAAACCATGTGTAGACATCTTGAAGGAATAAAAAATAAAGAACATCTAAGGCGAAAGTCTACGGCTTGTAAGCCATGAATAATCTAGATGACTTGAAAACGTGCTAGTATTTGTTCTCAGGGTTATTGGCAAATTTCATGAAGACGTGATCGAAATCTTCTGTGCCCTCTTCGATCACGTGAGGTGAGTTGTGGGATTGAGATTCATTTGTAGTCGGAGATGCCAACACAAAGGCACTTACCATACCGGATGGTGCCTCCTTCGGGGCCTTAGAGACCGACAGTTTTCCACCACCCTCACCTCGATCCTCATTGAATGCAGATCCATCGTGCATAAAGGACAAAATACTGCTTGGTATATCTGCACCGTCAGGCCTGAAATTCGAGTGCGCCCTCAGAATTTCCGTAGAACTCATTTCGCTACCGGAGGACACGATATCGTTCCCACTGCACCCCCCCAACGCATAGTGAGGCTGCTCTGAGAAAATAACTCCTCTACTGCTTTCTTGGTGTTGGGTATCGGAGTCAATGGAAGTCGGCTGAAACGGGTTATCCAGGCTCGTATTTATAATCCGAGAGTAAGTATTCTTTTTGAGTTGAGAACAGGATTTACAAATAAAGGAACGAAGCGCCTCTTCTGATGTAAGTTCCTCCTCTTGAGACCATTTCTTCCCAGATTTAAGTGCCGCTTGGCGATCCTTATTGAGTTTCTCGCTAAAGATCATTTCGTCTTGCTTTTCCTTCAAATACAACTCAACAGCCTCCTTATTGGAATACCAGGAAGCTGAAAAAGATGACGGCTCAGTAGAGATTTCATCACTTGCGAGTACAACCCTCCGAGTCCAGGTCCGGCGTCGCACTATACAATTGGATGTTTGTTTGTTTTTGAACAATGCCGGAAGATGGTCAGGGGATTCAAAAAATGGAGCGTAACGCCATCCATCGGGATCAACACCCTTGGGGTGTTGGAAGTTGATCTCCCAGTATCCAGACCATTTATAACCATCCGGAAGCTCCAGTTCCAAAAGCTTCACAGGGGTGTTAACGCCACAGCCCATAGCGTCCTTGTTTATAGATTGAAATGCTTCATGAAAACCAGCAACTGAAGGGGAGAGTTTAGATTTTCTCTGAGTGTCGTAATCGTGCATGGCACTACTGAAGTTTGGCGCATCTTCTGCCATTTGGCTTGTAGCCCATCCCACAATTGGAAACCAACGTTGATTTTCATACACATCTATGTGCATTATCATAAAAAATATGTTTGTGTCCAACTTAGAGAAGTCAAGCTCTGATAAAGGCGTGCTGCTATTGTGCGGCTTCTCATATGCACTACTCTCAGCATTCGTACATAAAGGGTTATTAGTGCTCTCGATCGGGTTGGACATTTCTTTATAACCCTTTCCTTTAGCTTTACCTTTATTATTGTATAACTGAAAGGTCAATACTTATAAAAAGAAAGCAAATAGGAGTATTAAAAATTATCTGGTTGAGTATGTTTTTCCTTTTGGTATCCGCTACTCTGATTCAAAACGAGAAAAAAAAATAGCAAAATTATACCATAATTCAACTCAAGAACTATCTGCTTTATGCCATATCCAAGGACAATGTTGTTGTTATTCTTTTCTAAAGAAATACAATATGTATATTTCTCCACTTTCTCTTTCAATGAAGGATTCCCCTTTGCGAAGTGACAAAGAACTAAAGCAGCTATGATGTCGAAAAAAAAGTGTAGATATGAACTTTTTTTTAAGGGGACAATACGAAAGGGAAAAAACACCCACGAAAAAAACAAAAACGATAATTATCAGACATAATCTAAAGTAATACACACACAAGGTTTCAAAAAGAGGACAAAAGAAACTAGTTATTTAATAGGCACAAACGGTAAAAAACCGCCAAACATAGACTTTTCCAAGAGCATTGGGTGCTTCACAAGTTTGGCATCTGCCAGGAAAGAAAAGTGAAAGGTTGATCAAGGGATAGAGTCAATGATCCGGCAGTAAACCAAGCACAATCGTATATGCATATATTGATTTATATGCCCA